AGGGTGTTTTTGTTTGGCATGCTGTTGTTGTGTTTGTCATTTGATTGTTAGTGATAACCACAGCTGTCCCCATGGTGACAGGAAGTCCAGTTCCTTAACTTCATTCTTTTGGAGTTCCAGATAGTGGCCTCCGTAATTTCCCCATTAGATTCTCATGACTAGTTTGCAGATTGCAGTCTGCAGAATCTGTTTTTCCAAATACAGTTCACAGGTCCTATGAACAAATCCAAGGGCATTTGTATTAAGGTCGTTTGGCAATTTATGTAACTAGAAGTGGTTTCCTGGTAGTATCCTGCCCCCAAAGGTCCCCCACAGGGATGGGAAATCACAGTGAGAATAATACTAAGTATGCGTAGTTAACCAGGTATGGTTTGAAGAACAGTATTTCTTTTCCTAGCAAAGGGTTAGATGCCTGCAAGTTGCCCACAGAAGAACAGTGGGCAGTGCTGGAAAGGGTACACAGAAGGAGATCTGGGAAAGAAACGAGCAGTAGAGCAAGAAGTAGGCTCCATTCCTAATCACTGGCTGAATTAATAATCACGTTTTGGTTGAAACATCTTCATTTCCCTTAAGAGTCTGATCCTTTCCAGAACAGATCAAGTATTTCTTGGTTGGGTTGGTAATTTTGTTGTGAGCTGGGAAGCCAAGGACAGTCTTAAATACTGGCTTGTTAAAGAGTAGCTCAACAACTAACCAACTACAACTCAAGCCAAAATGTCTTTACTGCTTTGAACTTCAAAAGCAGTGTTTAAATGCATCAAACAATAGTGAGCTGATGAATCAGTCCCATCATACAAAGGCTCTTTCTAGGCAGCAGGCAAAAGGCTTAATGAATGCAGAGTAAGAAACAGATCCAATGATTTGAATCCCAGAAAAAACACATCCCTCATTGAAGCTGGTGGGGAAACAGCCATGATGCTATTGAGAGATTATTTTGTTGATAGTGAAGAGCCTGTGCTGTTACATGGTCCCACACAGTGTCTGAGAGTTTGGAATCTTTTTCTTGCAGATCTGTTCTGCCTTGGCTTGTGATTTATTTTAATTTATTTTTTTAAAATGTTGCTCATGTGACCCATATTAGTTGTTAAGGTCTTCTTCCAAAGGGATGGAATATGCTACACACATTATATCTACCAGGAGGTGCTGAAACTCAGAACACTGTGTATTAAAACAGAGAAATATTAAAACTTATTTGCAAAAACAAGAGACAGTTTGGTATTCTCTACAGTAGTATGCTTTAACTGACTTGTTTTGAAACGTGAAATGAGAACCAATGTTTTAGCCAGAGTGGTTTCCCATTACTTCTAGCTTGAGGTCACATATTACTTTCTTGCTCTGCAGTTACCATGATGTTACATACCAATTATCTTTTCGAAGTTGCAGGCCTTAGAGGAGTTTGTATGAGCTAAAGAATAACCATCATATTGTAGGTAGAGGATTGCTGGTAGTAACCTGTTCTGTTACCTCTTATCTGTAAAGGCTCGTTTAGTAGCTGTTAAAGAGGTGAGAATTGCATGAAAGTGTTACCTATTTTTGCATTTCTTAAGGGCAGCAGGAGTCTCTTACCTTAGTCTGACTTAGAGGGGAACATTTAAAAGTTCTATTTGATCCCCGGCAGTTGGAACTATATATTTTCATACAGTAAGGACATCACAAGACAAAACTACTCATCAGGTATTTAAATTGATAGTATTTACTGCAGTGGTGCTTTTTTTTTTTTTTTTTCCCCACTAATTACTGAAGGAGAACCCTGTTGCATTCATTAAAAAAATCTTTGGTAGGCAGTCACAAAGATCCACCACCATATTGACAACTTCTTGAATGGTTAATCAAGATAAATGAGACTTTATTATGAGAGGTGATAAAAACTTCACCCATTCACAGAGAGAGATAGAAACATATGGAATATGCAGGCATTATCTTGGTGTTCTTGACCAAAATAAAATACTCTTAGACAAATGCAATATAAGTGGTTGGATACGTAGGCAGTAACAGTCATGGTAGGATGAATAGCCATTTCTCTGATAGTTATCAAGCTTCTGAACCTTAGGTATATGGATTTACAGTTATTCCATATAGGCAGTGTTTTTACTCAGGTGAGACTTCAGAAAGAAACCAACCCTGCTGCCTTCCCCCCCCCAAGCCAACTAACCAAACAAAAGAAAAAGGGGGAAAAAAATCCCACAAAAAACTGCTCCAAACCCTAAACTCTTAAGTACTGGAGGAATTCATCAAGAAACATTCCCCATCTTACTCCAAACTCTTCTTTGGGACTATTAAAGAGTAGATCTGTAGTAAAAAAACCCAACAGCCATCTGTGCTTTACTTGTTTAAATCTCTGAGCTGAGCTGCTGTTAAGAGGGGTAGAGGTCTTCAAGAGAGATTTTAGAAAGACAATCAAACGTGCAGAGGAGAGACTCCGTAATTACCTTTACAGAAGGGAAGGCTGTGATTTGTATGAAATACAGGAATGGGGAAGGTTATCTTAGAAGTTGTCACTGAAAGGCCAGTCTAAGGTGGGGCTCTTAGTTAGGAAGCAGAAGAAGCATAGACAGACAATGTATATCCAGAATGTGTATTTCTTTCAGACATTACTTTTTAGATTGAGATTGTTTCGGGTCTTGTATAGCTTGACTATTTGAAAAAGAACATTAAAGGGAAGAGCTTTAGGGAAGCCTTCACAGTACCATAAAGGATGACTTATGTTTTTTTTTTGTCTAAGTAAGTTATCAATTAGAGTATTCTGTTTACTCATCCTAAGCAGTAGATGCAGTCACTTGGCAATATATTAATTTAAGCCAGTGATGCCATCCACTTATATTTGCTGTTCTCTATTTGAATATGTAATGAATGAAGTTTTGTACCGCCTCTTTAAAGGTTCTATTGTATATATTGTATACTCAATGTATTCAAATTTGCTTAATTATGCAGTTGCTCCAGATCGATTTTAAAAGGATCATATTTATCTAGTTTCCTTTGAAAACATGGCTCACGTGAGCCAGTGTGCATGGGCCATGTGGATTCACATTAATTTCCAGTGAATTTTTTTTGGCCTGTTACCTAGTGTGGACAATTGTGACAGATAAGCATCTTAAGGAAACAGAGTTGTCCAAGAAAATGTGGTTCCAAGTTTTATGAAAACAAATAGCTGACAGAAGAGAGTAATTCTGCTTATGTTTTTGTGGGGAAAAATTTGCAGTGAGTTTTTTGCTGAAAGATAAAGAGGAGGAAAAACTGTCAGAATGTCCAAGTTTGGGAGGTCCTTCCTTTGGCATTTGCACCTTCATGGCCAGCAAATTGACTGAAGTACAAGATGTGAATATGTAGGTTCTCGTCTTCATAAGGAACTATTATAGGGAAATAAGAATGGAGTCTTAGTATGCAGGATAGTTAAGAGTGGAAAAATTATCTTGTTAAAATTTCTTTAACTAGTCACTTCTGATAATGTTTCTTTTCTGTATTAGGGGATATTTTCCTCTCATGTAATTTTTCTTTGTAGTTGGGAACTTCTTCACAATTTCAGTAGTATTTTGATCTTCTTCTTTTATTTTTTTTTTTTTTTCAAGAACAAAAAAAAATTCCCCGGCTTAATAAGCTTAAATTTCCAGTGAATTTTTTTTGGCCTGTTACCTAGTGTGGACAATTGTGACAGATAAGCATCTTAAGGAAACAGAGTTGTCCAAGAAAATGTGGTTCCAAGTTTTATGAAAACAAATAGCTGACAGAAGAGAGTAATTCTGCTTATGTTTTTGTGGGGAAAAATTTGCAGTGAGTTTTTTGCTGAAAGATAAAGAGGAGGAAAAACTGTCAGAATGTCCAAGTTTGGGAGGTCCTTCCTTTGGCATTTGCACCTTCATGGCCAGCAAATTGACTGAAGTACAAGATGTGAATATGTAGGTTCTCGTCTTCATAAGGAACTATTATAGGGAAATAAGAATGGAGTCTTAGTATGCAGGATAGTTAAGAGTGGAAAAATTATCTTGTTAAAATTTCTTTAACTAGTCACTTCTGATAATGTTTCTTTTCTGTATTAGGGGATATTTTCCTCTCATGTAATTTTTCTTTGTAGTTGGGAACTTCTTCACAATTTCAGTAGTATTTTGATCTTCTTCTTTTATTTATTTTTTTTTTTCCAAGAGCAAATAAAACTTCCCGGGCTTAATAAGCTGGTGGACAAATGGTGTGATCTGAACTGCTAACAAAGACAGTATTAGCTTCTTGCAGTTGTTTTCTTTTGAGAGTTTGGAAAACTATGTAATGACCTTAGTGGATGAGCTAAGTTGCCAGATTGAAGTAAGCTCTTAGCGCCTGGGAAATCGTTTAAACCGTGTTTTTTTCCCAGTCTCTATTAATACTTATGTTTGAGGGTTTTGTTAGTTTTGCATTTTGTTTGCTTTTTCTGAATCTGGTAACTGTGTACACCCACCCACCTTCTTTGGTTGTTAAGACATTCTATTTTATTTCTTTCAGCAGATTAGAAACCTGGTAGAGGAGGTAAGGCCTAAAGCCTTACTGGTACCTGTTTCAAAGGAATTTTGATTTTGAATTAATATTGAGTTAGATCTCTAGAGTAATTTTTTAAAGAAAATTAGGGACAGAAGTGAATATGGTTCTAATACATAATCCAGAGAGGGGAAAAGAAGGCATTCTTTCAACTGCTTACTCCTCATAATTATTAGTTTTAATAATTTGTAGTTGAAAATACTGAAACATTGGATCTGTAATATTTATCTTCTTTCTGGTTTAAGACAAGTACTGAAAAAATCTAAATTGCTCAGGTATATGTAAATATACTTGATCCATTACGAATATATTCTGATAACGTTGTCTTAATGAAAGCCTTCAAGGAATGATCAGCTCTCTGATTGGAGCTTTAATTTATCTTTAGGTTAAGATACAGTCTTTCAGCATGCTAGCATATATGTCTAATTTCTTTAAAACATATTCTAAAGAATAATTTAGTTATCTGTTTTTTATATCTAATGCTTTTGTTTCAACAGGTAGCATTGCTGGGATTAGATGTTTTAGGTGCCTTTGTCAGCAGACTATCAGGACGCTTTAAATCCTATATAGGAACTGGTAAGTGAAATACAACTGTTTTATTTTTTCATAAGACCAAAAAGTAAGAGAGAGACCCGCCAGCTCCCCTCCTCTCCACCCAGCAGCTGAAGCACAACATGTTGAAACCTTTCTGAATTAATTATAATATATTGGTAGGCATCTTATTGCTAATGTTGGAATGTAAATAATTTTGTATTAATTTGTAAATATTAATTTGCCATTAAATAATTGATTTCCATCTGGTAGCTGGAGATGTTTTAAATGTTTCAGGAAAATCTCTTAAGTAATTAATTTTATGCTATAGTTGCTTACCACTCCCCAAGACAGTAACCTGAAAATGACATTGGAACGTGTTACCATTAACTTGTGTTAAAGATAGAAGGTTTTATTTGCAGATAATTTTAATTAGACCCTTACATCTGCTGAAGCCAGTCAGAGGGCTGTGTAGTCCACCTCCTGTTAGGTAGCTGGATTGTTGCTTTTAGTAGTCTAAACTCTTTATGATATGAAAAAAAAGTGTTAACTGCTACTCTCGTGTGAAATGTTTACTGAAACAAATTTCAGATCAATGGTTCTACGTGTGCCTGAGTATGAAATAATTTTTCTGGGAGGTGTGTGCAAACTATGCTCCTTAACTCACTTTCCTGCTGTCCTTGAAAAGAGATAGTGGTACTAGGGCATTAACATCGGTGTTGTATCACTGGCTGTTTTTAATAGAAGTATCTAGCTTAGTGTCCTTTTCCAAAATCTGTGTGAATTATTTTCTATCTTGTTCCCACTTCCCCAGCTATTTCAAATTGTCTGTCAAAATGTTAGGCTTGCTCTTCTTTACATGTCTACTTTTGTGCTTAAGACTTAAGAAATCTGCAAAAACGGAAAGCTGAAGAGTACAAAGAATAGTTTCTGACAAGGTACTGACTACATTAATTTGAAGCATGTTTTGGGATGCTGTAGAACTACTGCAGTAGAAAATCTGTTCTGTTGCAGAGTATTTTTTTTTGGCTGGTTAGTTTTGTATTGGAAGCATGTAAGGGAACTTGAGGTGTATTATGCTACGTAGAGTATTGATTTCTGAATAGTCTCTGAAGCTACAAACAGTGCTAAGCTTCAGAGTTTCTGTTTTGGTTTATGTTTTAGTGGTTTATAGCTCTGAAAATTAGAGTATATTCATTAAATATTGGAGATTTTTTTTTCATTTCTTCTATTTGTGTTTTGTGGTTTAAGTGTGAAGTATTTGAGAATAGTTTGAAACATTCTTTTTTCACCCCAGTGTTGGAGTAGTTTGAGATAATGAGCAGATTAAATATTTAAATTTCAGTGCTTAGTTGTGTGTACATTTGAGAAAGAGTAGTGCACTGAGTGCCCATCGAACCTGTGTAACATCAATAGACATTTGAAGCTGTGTGTTCCAGAAGTACCCTTTAGAAAACCTGAGTAGTAGTGCCTTCAGCTGAAATTGGTCTTCTGAGCATCTTTGGAATCAAGACCTGTAGAGTACATTATGCTGAATATGCAAGTCTGTTGTTCATTATAATCTTTTACATAAGCCTAACAGATGCTGAGACGTTAGTCTCTGTAAAGGCAGAAAAACCCCTTTATTTTAAGTAACTTTTAAAAAGAGTGATCTCTAGTATGAATTTTCTCCAGTTGGTAGCTCTCTAAGAGACAAACAAGATTTGGATTATTTTCAGTTTTTGTCCATGAAGCAGTAATAAAAAAAACTTTACTGTAAATGTCTGGGAGTGCAGGTAGTCAGGAATTCATGAGTGGAGTTGAAAGCACAATGGTGAGCAAGAAAACTGATTCCTTCAACAAAAACTTAAAGAACCAGCAGTTTCCCAAGTAATGTTCTGTTGACTCCACACATTTGGCTTCTAAAGTAATCAGAGAGTAACTCCATTAAGTCAGACGAAAGACTTGTGTCTGACAGTAATCTGTTTGCAAACTCCTGAGAAGAAAGTAAGGAGAGAACGAACACGCAGTGATAACTTCCTCAGTATGACCCCCTATCTCTCTGCAGTCCTGCCGTTTAGGGCCAGCTGGGGCAGATGGTATCTTCAGTGTCTCCCTTGTCACCCTTTTTTCCTACTGTTTTATCTGGTTAGTTTTTGAACCCACATTTTCCAGTCTTCTGTAGTAATGCTTAATTATGCAAAATTCTCATTTTGGACTGGCTGCCTAATTACTTGATTGATGCTTGCTAGATCTTGTGTTAGAGAGGTGAACCACCATTTCTTACCCTCTTGACTTCCAGTCTTCATTTTGTGGATCTTCGCTGTCTCACTCCTTTGCTGTTTTTCCTCCATCCCGCGCCAGCTGAGAGTCCTGGCCTAATTGTTTTGTGTATACACATGGTTCCAGAGTTTTTATTGTTCTTATTTCCCCTTTCAGTGCCTCTCTTGTAGTGCTGTTGAGTTGAGGAGGCCATAACAGCACAGGTGCAGCATATGTTTACAGTGGCATAATTATGTTTAGGTTTTTTATGTCATCTGTTACTTTTGTAATTATTGATAATCCATGACTTTTTTACATTGCAACTTCCTGAAAATTAATATATTAATGAGGCTGTCTGTTCTAACAACCTGTCTCCTGTGCATTGATGGTTGGTTTAGGGTCCACTGTCCAGTGTGGTGTATCTTTTTGCACCTTTATTATGTAACCTTCCTTCCTGTGAGGCTTCTTCTTGAGAATTATATGAAAATCCAACTGCACTGTGTTAGCTGAGTTGCCTTCTGCAAAGCTCTTCTGCAGAAAGCTCTTGAAAGTTTGAGGTACCACTTCTTTTTATACGTGCTGGTATTATCTTTTCTTTGCCATAGATGACCATGTTGTACTAACTAGCTAGAGTGAGTTCTTCACAGATGCCAAAATAAAACATTTGTAGAATTACTTAGTTAGGAAAAGACCCTTAAGATCACGTGCAACTGTAAGCCTAACACTGCTGAATCCACCACTAAACTATGTCACCAAGTGCCACATTTACATGGCTTTTGAGTACTTCCCAGTATGGTGATTCCACCACTTTCATGGGCAGTCTGTTCTGATGCCTGGTAACTCTTTCAGTGAAGAAAGTGTTTCTAATATGCGATCTAAATATCTCCCCTGGCACAACGTGAGGCCATTTCCTCTTGTTCTATCACTTGTTACTTGGAAAAACAGACCAACCCCTGACATGCTACAACCTCCTTTCAGGTAGTTGTAGAGAGTGATAAAGTTTCCCCTTCAGCCACCTTTTTTCCAGACTAAACAATTGTAGTTCTCTCTTAAGACTTGTGCTCTAGACCCTTCCTGAGCTTCATTGCCCTTCTCTGGACTTGGTCCAGCACCTCAATGTCTTTGTTGTAGTGAAGGGCTCAAAACTGAACATAGTACTCAAGCTGCAACCTCACAATGCTGAGTACAGGGGAACAATCACTTCCCTACTCCTGCTGGCCACACTTTTTCTGGTATGAGCCAGGATGCCATTGGCATTCTTGGCCCCCTGGGCATGCACTGCTGGCTCATATTCAGCTGGCTCTCAACCAATACCCACAGGTCCTTTTACTTTGCACAGCCTTCCAGCCACTCTACCCTAAGCCTTTAGTGTTGCATGGGATTATGGCCCCAGTGCAGGACCCAACACTCAGCCTTGTTGAAGCTCATAGAACCGGCTTTGGCTCATCGATCCAGCCTGTCCAAGGTTCCTCTGCAGATCTTTCCTACCCTTAGGCAGACACTCTCACCCAACTTGGTGTTGTCTGTGAACTTACTGAGGGTGCACTCGATTGATAAAGACAATAAACAGAACTGAGCCCTGGGAAGCACCACTTGTGACTGGCCACCAGCTGGATTTAACTCCATTCACCACAGGTCTTTGAGCCTGGCCATCCAGCCAGTTTTTTTACCCAGCAAAGTATATTACCCATCCAAGTGGTGAGCAGCCAGTTTCTCCAGTAGGATTCTGTGGGGAGTTCAAGTTTTAGATGTAACGATGTTTTAGATGTAACCTCTCTATTACATGTGGATAATGAAAGTTGCTTAGAAGTAGGAAAAAATAAGCTTCCCCTGCCCCCTCCCCCCTGAAAAAACTCCAACAACCTTCTACAAAGTTTCCACAGTTACACATTTGAGAAGAATCATCTATGCAAACTGCCATTTTAACATTTTTCATTCTTATCATGGTTATGTCTAGTTAGGTCATTGCTTGGTCTATCTCCACATGAAGTTTTAGTGGTATTTTATATGGTGGGCATTTACTTCTGTTCTGGTCAGACATATGTGAGTTTATTATTTCTCTAAGACAAGCATAAGAGAACTTTTCTTGGCAATTTAATTAGTACTTCAAAATTTTCAAATAGTGAAGGAAGATGCATATGTAAAATACCTACTTACTCTATTTTCAATCTTCTTTAAAATACAAGGAATCCTACTTTTTTTGTGAAGTTTCACTTTTATAGCTGTATTTTGTAATAAAATACCCAGAACCTTAAATGTATTTTTGTCCTAATGAAGAGTGTTACATTTTGGTGACCCTGAGATGTTTTTATTCATGATTTAGACCTCAGTAAACAAAGGAAGTATAATAGTGTATTCCCCAACTATAACAGCAAAACATATTTTCCCCCTGTTTAATTTCCTGTTTGGTTATGATGGGGATAGATTTCTTTAAGTGCAGAGAAAAGTAAGTTATGTCACTGAATATTCATCCCAATAAGCACTGCAGGCTGTTTGCAAAGAAGTAGAAAACACTAATGCTTTATTATTTCCATCTTTATAGCCTACACATAAATCAGATTTGGGAAAAACCAATACAATAGTTGTAGGACAGATGCTATCCAGTATTCTGAAGAGCATGTTACTGATCTTTGTATTCAAGTGTAATGCCTGATAAGACACTTAATTCAGTTTCCTAGGCAACAATCTAATGTTGCAGTAACTTTCTTCCAAGGTGTGTTATCTTTTTACGATTAATCACATTACATGCTCTCTGCAGCTGGCATCAGTGTTCTGGGAACTTGGACATGCAAATTTGGAATTTC